ATGGCTTAGAGTTGGTGTAATTTTGAAAAGGAAGAAATACTCAAAACAAATACAGAGTTGTTGCCGTTTTATAAGTCAGTATTTTAGACTTTCAACAAAATGAAGTGGTTGGCATGTGTGGTTTGTTGCAGGAAGTTGGATCTTGCTGTGGCTCTCCACGACTGTTAAATAAAGTTTACTTTGAATCAGGAGGCAGAGCTAGTGATGAGATATGACCCAAACTGGCCATAGAGAAGCCAGCAATTTGGATAGAGAAGGTGTATGGGAAGAAAAGGACGGGACATGAGTTTGGTTGCTTCTTATTTGGTTTCGAGACAAGTGAAGAGACTCCTCTCTCTCGCTGGATCTCAGGCCATAAAGGAAGGTCAACTGGTTGCTCCTCAGCTTCTCTGATCTAGCAGGTTTTCACCCCCACATCTGATGTTTGAGTCTTTGTTGACAAATAGAACCATAAAGACTTAGTTTAAACTTACATATCACAGCATGGCAGAGCCAGAGCTGTGGGACCGGGCGGCCCTCCAGGCTGCAGCCTGAGTGGCCAGCGGGGGTGTTGACTGTGGCTCTGGGGTCACAGACAATAATGAAAATATCAGGAGATTCATGTGTAGCTGCTAAGCCGACAGAAAAGCATCAGTGGCTTTCTGTGTACGCGCACATGGATACACACACAGGCCAAAAGACAACTTGCAATGTCATTTCTCAGACATAGCCTACCTTTTCGGAGGCACAGGGTCCCTCACTGGCCTGGAGCCTACCAAGTGTGCTAAGCCATCTGGCCAGTGAGCCCTGTGGAACGGCCTGCCTTTGTATCCTCGGTACTGGGATTACACACGCATGCCACCGTGCCCGGCATTTTTAATTTCTCACGTTGATCCTGGAATATCAAACTCTGAGCAGGCGCTTCACCTTGCCCTTCCTCTATTGTAGGTTCTCTTTAACAGTGGCATCACTGTCAGAAAGGGATTAGTTAAATACATCTGTGTTCTTAGCCAAGCAGAAGATTTTAAAAGATGTTTTGTTACAGAAGACAAGATCCAAGGGGCATATTATTTTTAGTGAAAATAAAAAAAAATATAGAGACCATTCAACTGAAAAGAAGAATATGAAATTAAGATGGAGATTGATGAATTGGACTAAATAAGTCTTAACTGAGATCTCACAAAATCCAGGCCCTCGATCTAGGAAGATAGAGTCACCATTTACTGAGGCAGAATGGACCCATGGAGACATATGTAATACATTTGTGCTCAGGCTCCCAAATCAAATATAAATGAACACAGGAAACAGCAATGCATTTAACAAAGCTGAGATTAGAAGTCACAGGACAGAGGTAATAAAAGAAATGGGGATGACTGGGTGAGGCAGGTCTTGCCAGATCAGCCATGTGTACCTTGGCTCTTTCTTTGATCATGGCTCGTAGTAATTTGATGGCGGTTCCTTCAAACACACGGATGCATCCCCGGGAACACGGCCAACTCTCCTGACAGCTTGGAGTTTCTGATTCCGATTTGGAAGTTTCTGTCTGTCAGCTCTGGCTTTCCCGCCATACTTTTAAATGGTTCCTGAAACTTCTGGTTAATGAGGTTCTAAGCAAGTCCACTCATGTGTCCCTGGCCTTGCCCAGGAAGTCAGAGAGCCAGGCAGGGTTGGGGCCAGTAACGCACCTGCCAGAGTCTCTGAAGACTCTGTTCACAGTGACACTGTCATTCAGGGGACAGTGAACAGAAGTGGCCAGTTGAATTGTCATCCACAACCAAAGCCAGTGCACTGAATGCCGTCTTCTGCATTACATGTTTTTCACACAAACAACAAACTGTTGTCCCCACTGTTGGCCTTTGTGGCACCAGTCAGCTGCTGACCTCCTAATCTGCACAGCTGTGGCTTCCCCACGTTGTCATGGAACAGATTGGAATGTCTTAATGGATCATTCTCTGAGGTTACAATTGTCAAGTGAGACCTGCCTGCTGATTCTTATTAGCTAAATTAAGCTGTGTTACAGCAGAACTGGCTGATTCGTTGTAATGGCCGGGAAATCCAATGCAGATTGCCACATTTGTAGAGTACATCCAAAGCTTTGTTGGCTGATTTTTCATTCTCTGAATGCTGTACTCCAAATATGGTTTTATGACCTACTTAAGGACACTGTTGGGATGGTCAGTGGGATGTAATCGTGCTGCCCCCATGTATGATGGTGGTGAGTCAGAGCAAGCCGTGTAATGCGTGGTTTATAACAGGCACTGGTGTGCCAGATTCAGGATGAAATTGGAGGACTCAGCTATGGGTAGCAGATGTCAGGCCCTACCCCAAATCCCAAGAAGATTTTACTCTTGCATGTTGTCTGAAAGAATGTAGGCATCTTCATGACAAGGTAAAACCGCAGACAACGCCTGACCCTGAAAGTCACTCAGTTGTGCCTTCATTTAATAAAGTCTTTGTGATAGAACTGGCTAGGAACCCTGTGTTCAGGTGTCCCAGTGTACTCATCCATTTTGGGCAGACCTCTTGTGTCCTAGGGTTTGGCCTATCAGCTGCTTACTGCAGTTGATCAAGGTGATAGAAAATTCCTTCATCACAAAGTTGTTCAATAGTGCAGCTGGTAGCCCAGACTAGCCTCTAGCCAGACTAGCTTCTCTAGATTACTGGGATGACCTTGAACTCATGATCCTCCTGTCTCTACTTCTCCATTATCATGCCCCCTGATCAAAGAGGTACTTATGTTAAAGTTTTATTTATTGTTATTGTATACGTGCATGCATATATTTTGGAAGTATAGTGTGTGCCTGCCGAGTGCTCACAGAGGCCAGAATCAGGAACAGGATCCCCTAGAGCCAGAGTGACAGATGGTTGTGAGTCACCATGTGGGTGCTGGGCACTGAGTCCCTGCTCTGTGCAAGAGCGAGAAGACACACTTGGAACCACCAAGCCGTTGCTTCAGCCCTGATCACAGTGTTCTAAGGCATCTCTGAAACGGGCCTGTGTGACTCCAACAGGTTGTGTTTTTTTCTAATTCTTAGTTTTGACAACGCACACAGATGCCTTTGCCAGATGTTTCATGTTAACAGGAGTAAAGAGAAATGAAAGGAAACAAGTTTAAGTTAACACCATAACCGCTGGCTCCAAAATACTCTAGGATGTAGAGATGTTTACTGAAGTACTTTCTATAGTCGGAAATAAATCAGAAAATGGCCGGATGCCCAGCAATATATACATTATAGCATGTCTATGTAACTGAACAATGACTGACATTAAATTCTTTGGAAGAATTATTTACTGGTATGGAGAAGGTCAACACAAAACAAGAAGAAAATCAAAGGTGCTGAGCTGTGTACTTGGTGTCTCTCAATCTGCCTACAGTAGCCTATGTAGAAAGAGGGAAATGTGAGATGCTTTTCACCGTTGAGTGACGGATACAGGAATAACTTCAGTCTTACTCTTTCCTGCCTTTTCAAGTTCTTTATAGTGAGCCCATACTGCTTGAATGCCCAGAGCAAGACGCACATTTAAGGCAGTTGGAGTAGCTTTGGTACGAGACGTACTGTAGCATTCTTTACCCCAGGCGTCTCCCACCTGCCCACTCTGGAAACAAGCTCTGGTTGCTCTTCCTGGGTTTATTTCCAAACACCCTCCTTTCCTCCTGGGTCAAGGCAACTGTAGTCTCACACCGATGTGGCAGGAAGCCTGTCGTCACCCTTGGCTCCTTCCCCTTTCACATCTACATTCACACGTTTCGTTTCTGGACCAGTCCGGAATACAGCCTAAGACTGTCAGCATCACACCCTCGTCATCCCTCTGTGTGTCCCACCATCACCCTGGGTGATGAGCAGCGGCTTGCTTTCTTGGTTTCAACCCTTTGTTCTTGTGATCCAATTCTCCATGTAACAGCCAAGGTTGGTCAACTCGGGTCAGGTCATCTACTCTACTGTTAAAGATCTCCATTGCACAGGAAGTCAAGGGACTCACATGATTCATGACGGCCACCTCCCTGACCCAAATGCCTACTTGCTGTCTGCATTAGCTTTCTGGAGTGCACAGTCCATCAATTCCAGCCTCAAAGCATCTGCAGTGGCTTTTGCTTATGTATCTCTATGGCCAGTCCCTTTTCTTCACTTAACGCCTTCTCTCAGTGGTGCCTCTGGAGGCTCTCCATTGTTCCCAGGTGTGTGCGCGTGCACGCACGCACGCGCGCGCGCGCACACACACACACACATAAATAATAAAACAAATGTAAAGCAAAGGAGACCCAGACCTAGAAGATACAGGCTTGAAAGTTCTCATTTAGAGGGTCTGTGTTTAGAAGGTTGTGTGCTTGGCTCTGCCACTGGGATCTGTATTAACTACAAATCCCAGATGTCAGTGTTTTTCTTCTGAATCTGATAGTTCCATGGAAAGAGAGGTATCAGGCTTCTGAGATGTGTGCATGCCTTTTTGTGTTCTCAAGAGAGGCCTTCGCTTGTCCACCTAAAACCAATTCAAGCTCAAAGGATCATTAATATGACGACTCGGGAATTTTTAGGCATCACTGTAATATTTTTGCTGCCTGAAGTGGTCTGGGTTGTGTATGTCTCCTGCCTCTCATCATCTGCTGCCTTCTCTACATTACCGAATGCCACTTACCCATGCATGCATATCAAAGTACAACATACGTGCCTAGATATGTAGCCCTGGCAGCACCCTTACCATAGAAAAGAAATAGTTCATATTCTCTCATTTCATTTGAAATTACGGGTCTAATTTTTATAAAACTCATCCTTCAGAGCGGAAATGAATGGCTGTTTTCCCACATAATTCTAAACTAGCGTAGGGCTACAGAAAGTGATCATTTTCCAACAGGATGTATTTACTCTCCTAATAAATGCCCACTGCTAACTTGATAACCCGTAGCAGAGTCTGCAGGATAGATGTGTATCGGGGTAATCCCATACTCAGCCATCATGCGGTAAGGGATATTTCGGCTCCTCGAGATCTCATTCGATGACAGTCTTCCCTTTTCTCTCTTTCAGCCTTTGCAGCTCGACTGTGACCACTGCGCCATAGTGTCTAATTCAGGTCAGATGGTGGGCCAGAAGGTGGGCGAGGAGATAGACCACTCTTCCTGCATTTGGAGAATGAACAACGCCCCCACCAAGGGCTTTGAGGAAGACGTCGGCCACGTGACGATGGTTCGCGTCGTATCGCACACCAGCGTTCCTCTTTTGCTAAAAAACCCTGACTATTTTTTCAAGGAGGCAAGTGCCACCATTTATGTTATCTGGGGCCCTTTCCGCAACATGAGAAAGGACGGGAACGGCATTGTGTACAACATGCTGAAAAAGACAGTTGATAATTATCCGAACGCACAGATTTATGTGACCACGGAGCAGCGGATGAGTTACTGTGATGGCGTCTTCAAGGAGGAAACTGGGAAAGACAGGTGAGTCCTCTTTGGAACAGCCTCGTTGACCTTTATTGTCTTTTATGGTGAATCTTCGCCGAGCTATCAAACGAACAGAGTTATTTTTTAAACCAATTGTTACGTGGTTTTGATTATTATGATGGCTGCAGGAGCCGACAATGAGGTCCCATTAATTCCACCCACACTGCCTTCTGTTTGCTTCATTTTAATAGTTTGAAGCTCCGAGAAATGGTGGATAGTTCTCCAAAATGTCCTTAGATCTCTTCCTATGTAGCTCAATTTGTTACTGATTAGATCGCATATTTGGCTGAAAGGGGACATCTTCACATTCTCTTTCAAAACAGAAATACTTAGGAATCTCAGGTTTTTAAGCCATCTTAAGTGAGAATTGTGGCTCCCTCTGCCTCCTGGAAACCAGAGACAGAATAGACTATTGATCCTCTAATATGACTGCACAGATCCACGCATATCAATAGCCCTGTGATCTTGAACACCACATTAAACAAAATGACACATTGGTATTATTTATTTAAAATCATTAGCACTTGGATTCTTAACGAGAAATTAAGTATAAATATATCCTTTGCTCAATTGTTCAAAAACCAACCTATGTTTTGGTGCATACACTTTTCTGTCCCATTTCATAAATCACTGTGCCCACCTTCTCTGCTCAAGGCAAGTTCCCCTCGTTCTCCTTGTCCCCATCTTCCACTTCCTCTCCTGGCTCCTTTAGGCAGCTCTACCTTCTGCTGGTTCTCCTGCCTCTTTAGAACGACAACTACAACAAGCGAGGGAAGCAAAATTACAAACCGATCAATCTGGCTGATATTCATAAATATAGCACTCATAAAGAATTGCTGAAGAAGATCCGGAAACCTGTGCCTGAAGTTCTAAATTATATGTGGATTTTGCTTATTTGTGCAATACTCTGAATAAATTGAGCTTCAACTGTAATTGCAGTGCTAACAATCTAATTTCCTTAAAATGCATGCCTGTCTTTGACTACTCAATAGCATCGAATAGAGAGTTGTAGCTATTGGGCCATTGGTGGTGGAGACTTGGGATTTGCTATCTGGAAGTGTAATTTCAGTGCTCATCATGCGCTAGAAGTCTCGACAGGGACTTTTTGTGGTCTGTTTTTTTTTTTTCCAGTGTCCTATCCCCCACTTCCATCCTCAAGAGTACCTTCTTTAGTTTCTTAATAAACAGCATACATTATATTTTATCAATACATGCATGCACACATACATACAATACATAAACACACATACAACACTCAGCTGGACCAATAGACCTATTGATATTGTGGACTGATTTTCACTGAACATGTCTTCTTAGCCCCTAAAATGCAGTTTTGTTAGCATGAGTCTCTCCTCTTTAGGAAGAACCTCAAAGGTGAGATCCAAATCGGCATAGCGTAGCCAAAGAGACAGGCAGATCTGGTATTTGCAAGAATTGTACTCATGCGTAGCACCATTCTGTATGAATACGACTGTTCTCCTGGGGCCCCAGACACCTCTGGTCTCTCACTAGCCCCGAGCAATGCAATTAATTAGATGTATTTGGTTTTTCATTAGAGCTATCCCTTAGGGTACCCCCTGGTTACAATGATAAGCCTGAGGGTCATTTGAGGGTATCAGAGAAGAGCTAAGTGTGGTATTTGTTCGTGGTGCTTGAATCACGTTGACTTTCTACTGTGAGCTTTCGTTGAGATGGCAGTGTTGCGGAGGATGGTGGTGGAAAAGAGTAGAGAAGGGGATAGCATGGGGAGGTTGTTTTCTGTGTCCGTGCTGAGTAAAGCTGCTTCTGTGGCGTCATATTGGCAGATCTCCATCAATGCGGTCCCTAAACCTGAAGTTCTTTTAAAGGTCAGTTGATTTTATGGTACAGTTTCGCTTCTTTGGTTTTCCCTTCCTCTGTTATTTCACCGGCTACTGCAGACAGGATGACTAATGTCTACAGTTTCTTTAGAGCTCTGCAGAAGGGAGGACAAGTAGAAATTGACTGGTCACTGTGTTGTTGACCAAAAATATCCATCTCATTATGGTTTGAATCCAGCCCTGCTTGTGCAGAATATAATGATTTACCATGGTTCTCTGCACACAATGACAGATTTCAGTCTCTCTGAGTGGGTAGATGTTTGTTATATACACACGTGTACACACATAAAAACTGCAGGTGGAACCCTGGTGTTTCCTTTGTCACTCTCTGCCTTATTTTTTGATACTCGGTCACTTATTGAGCCTGAAGCTTCCATCTTAGCTAAGCTGGCTAGGCAGTGAGCTGCCAGGGACAGTTTTGGCCTTATAGACACTCAGGGCCCTGCTGGGCTTTCATATGTGTTTTGGAGATTTAAACTGAATTTGGTTTTGAATCATGGGTTTGTACACATTGTGCTGTATTCACAACCTCAACAATATCTTCAAATGTTGAGCCTGGTGGTCTCATCGTCTCTGTAGAGCCAGGCCTCAGCTTGAGGAATTACTAACTTGTGACTCATCTCAGTCCAGCTGAATTGTACACACTTTCTCCTTCCCCGAGTATAATTTTGAAGGGAACCTTAGCCTTCTATTTTGTCTTTAAATATTTTACTGTGTATTTTTAAAAGACCAAGGTAAGTCTTCACATCCTACGTGAAAATGCAAACACTTCCTCCACATGATTGTGTGTATCCTTGGCTTGCAATGGTCAACATTGTCCCGTAGATGTACAAGTTGTACATATATTTTAAGTATTAGTTCAAATCAGGGTTAACATAGGTCCATGCATTATAAGTGGTGTATTTCCTTTGTGTACTTATCCATATAACTCTCCCGCTACACTGCTCCTTACTGAAGAAACCTAGCCACCTGGGTTTCCTACCATGTAGTTAGTTTTATTAACTTCACGTGCTATTTCTTCAACATTGGTTTTAATGTATTGAGGTTGACTGGGTTCAGATCCAACTAATATTTATTTCTTTGCCATGAGCGACTTGTGATACTTGTAATCACATGATTATACCTAATATATGCTGACTACGTGTAGTGATATCCGAGAGCTTTCTCTCTGTGGTAGGAACCACTAGTGCTGTCTAGAGACAGGAGTTTATTAGGGTTGCAAAATGGTGGTGTTAGATCTTTTGATTGCTGGTGTACTCTGTAGAGAGAGACTTGCCCTCACTTGGTTACCACCAGACAAAAGACTGACTGGCTCTGATGCATTAGTTTCTTGCTTGGCATCCTCTGAAGTGACCCACATGTTCATAGCTTCCCAATATTTACACACTGACTAGCAGTTAAGTGTATCTCAAGTTTGTAATCTATTATAAAGCATGACGCATGCTCCGAATGTCTTATTTTAGCCTGTGGGTTCCTCTTCAAATTGGCTTTGCCTGCTTTTGATGCATGAGAGGTCATGGAGAGCTTCCCTCCTTTCTCAGATTGTAGGTACTTCAGCACTTACCTGCATCCCCCTATGAACTTGTATTCAAACATTCTCCAAGGAGCCTTGATTCCTTCTAGTTGTTAAAAGAATATAAACCATGGTATTGTGGTGCTTATTATTACAAGGTTGGATCTTTGTTTCTCGGCCTTTAGAGTGGGCAGAGATGAACTATAAACAATGCATGCTGTGTGCGCTGTTTATGAATATGATCATCATGATGTTCAAACTGAGTCTTTTCATTCTAACTCAGGCCCACCAGGCTTTTATCTTACCATGCATGTCTTACATCCATGTCTTCTTTTTGGCAGGCTGCCAATCAAAGATCCCAGGAACAGCATTGTAATTAATCATGTGCTTTATCTTGCAATACATAGTAAACTTGGAGTAACGGCAGATCAGCTATGTGATCACTGCAAGCCTCTTACGAGTACTGTGTACCGAAAATGTTTAAATGGTAGGCATTTGTGCCTGACATGTAAGGCCGCATCTGCTGGATGTGTGCTGGATAGGTCTCCCCAAAGACTGCAGTGTTTTCCTCTTTAGTGCTATTGTGTACAGGCATAGTTGCAGACTGAAAGGAGTCAGGAGCGAGGGGTCGCCTTTAAGTTAACTTTTGTTGTAAAGCTGTTTCATTTCATTCACTTTTGCTTTCAAAATTTATCAGCAAGTTCTCATTTTTGTCTTTGTGTATGCTTGGCGGGGCTCGAACTCATGGCCTTTGACCTGCCAGGCAAGTACTTTACCACTGAGATAGCACCCTTGATCATCATATTCTAATGGAGAGAGCGTATCACTGGCAATTTACAGCCTTGAAATGTGATGTCACTGATTGTTAAAATGATTTTTGATAGAAGCATTATTAGGTTTAGTTCCTGAAAGAAAAATATTTCTCGATTCCTTCCTGCCTTCCTTCTTTCCTTCCTTCCTTCCCTCTCTTTTTCTTTCTTTCATTTTTTTTTCCAGTCTTCAAGTTCCTTTTGAAAATACAGCCTTTGGCTGATGAGACGATTCAGTAGGAAAATGTGCCTGTCTCCAAACCAAGGCCCACATTTGATCTCTGGGGCCCGAAGTGTGGAGGCAGAAAACTGATTCTTGGGAACTGTTCTCTGACCTCCACACACTCACCCCATGGTGCGTGTGTACGCTTGCTCCTGCAACACAGGTAGACAGGCATAGTATTTTCTTCTCTTTCTGAAAGGACTCCTGTTGGAAATATGTATTGCTGGAAACAGTGCTCAGACGCCTTTCTTTCTTGGGATGATCCTAGACTAACCCTTACATATATTAAAATTCTTTTCAAACCAGATGAGAAATCATTTGTTCTCATATTAGTTACTGCCGAAAACTCTGGCTTGTGCGTGAGCGTGGCCTGTGGGGAGTCTGGGAGCTGGCACAGAGGACATTCGTTCATTCTCTAGAGTTACCAGATTGTTTGACAGTGGCCACCCTTATGGCTTTGTCTGCTGAATGTGATTCTCATAAACAAGAATTATGAATTCTGTACATCTTTCCTGCCTCCCAGAAACCTTCAGAATGAAAGGTTTTTATATTCAAAACATTCTGACCAAAATGTCTCCGTGCTGCCCCTTTGA